CTTGTATTCTTCATAAGAATTCACATCAGGAGTAGATATTAAGCATTGTCATTATTGAAATGCTAATGTGAGGTAGTGAACATGTTAATGAGATAACTTAGTTATTTCACAATGTATTTGAACTTCAAAACATTAGGCTACAAAGCACAAATAGAAATTTATCTGTTAAAGAAAAAATGAGTTGTCCACAAACTCAGACAGGCAAACTCAATATCAACTGACCATATCACAAATGAAAAATTTGTGAGTCAACCTAGATGTGCAAAATTATAATCTGCATTTGAACAAGATCCCCAGGGCTCCACAGTCACATGGAAGGAGGAGAGGTTCTGAACTGCAGTAGAGCTTCTCAGAGTCTTCATTGGTGATATTCGTGCTAGATGACGCTTTCTGGTGAACTGTGCTGTGCATCTTAGAATGCTGAGCAGCTTCTTTGGTGTCAACCCGTTAGCAACAGCACCAACTCCCCAGTTGCAGCATCTAGAGTTGTCTGCTGACATTGCTAGGTGTCTGCTGGCTGCCTGTCCTCCTGTACTGGAGGACCACTGACCTTGAGTATGGCAATAGGAACATGTTGATAGATTTCCAAGAAAAGCTCTTCCTTACTTAGTTCATAACTGTTGGCAGATCACTGAGCCTGAGACTCAGTTCTCCAAATGAAAAAATGAATACTGAATGGTACTGACATTTAACATATGTATGGAAATGAAAATATTTAATTCTTGAAAGTTTCTGAGTTAATTTTATAGTGGATAAAAAAATTTAAATATAACCCTTAAGAATCAAATGTTTAAGACATTAAAATATAATTGACAATTATAATGATGTGTTGTCATCCAAATCTCCTCCATGTTTTGCAAATTGAGCTAAAAAGACAGGGTTCTTTTAATGATTCATGATTACATTACAAATGAACAAAGATATCCCTCTTGATGAAGTGAGAAAAGTAATTTCATGAGTTATTAAGGGCTGTGTTCTCACTACAAATCAGGCAAATTCAGGAGACTCAGATTTTGGAAAGAAGTGGAACTTACAACTGGGCAAAAGTGCTGAAGAGACTGGACCAACAAGTCAGAAGAAGTTGGGCAATGGAGTGAAAACAACTGGATTTACCTGATTTCTAATCTTGTCTCTTGAGAACGTAGGTTGAGCAGAAAACTTTCCTTTCTGCTCAGACCAATAGCCCTCAGGGAAATCAATGAATCAGAGGCTGAAGTAACGAGGAGATGTGATTAATGAGTACTTAGGGGGGTATAAATTCATCCTCTGCTGTTGTTCCTCAGAGGGTACACTCCTGAAGTAGATAGGGCCTGGTGGTTCCTTTAGGTGTCTATGTCTGGGTAGGGCACAATGCATCACTTCCTCCTGCCATCTGTCTATACCATATTTCAATATCCATCATAACCATTCAAGGAGGAATCAAGACTTCCAGACCCAGACTTTATTTTCATAGACCCATTTAGTTGAGTCTGAGATCCTGGTATGTACTATGGGAAAGGGTCATCAAGAGTGGAACCTGACAAAATTTACACTGTGTCACCTAAGTACCAAGCCAGCCTAGCCCAGAGCTGAGAGATAACTGTATGTGTTTGTTTACTTCTGTAATTAATTGGTAATTTACTCAACATTATATATAGATATGCACCTTTTAAATCTTGATGATTATCTGAAGGGAATGGAAGCCTAATTTGATGAGACTGAATGAAGAAGGGATAGTATAAGATATTTCTTATAAAATTCATGTGTCCAAGCATGTTTGCAATTAGGGAGGTGAAAAATTGCACGTACGTTTTCAAGGATGTGCAGTGAAGGGAGGACATTTTTCCTTACTTTTTAATTTAGTAGGGTGTTTGAGTCTGCTTTCCTGTTTCTACAAAGACCAGATTAGTGAGAGATACATTTCACAGTGTCTTCTCTCATGCTGGGGATTGACAAGTACAAAATAGTCTTTATTTGATAGGTAAAGTGGAAAACTCAAGAGATTTATCTTGCAATTCTTCCATTGTTGTTGAGGCTAAATATATTTTTGCATTTGTTAGACCATATCTTTCTCTGTGCATTCCACAATATTACTATGATTTCTTTGCTTTTATGGGAATTGGGGGCATTTAAATTTTTATTTCATTTTTCAAAGGAAGAATGGGAAGATTTAATTCTCTCTGCATTACTAGTAACAATCAATTCCTTGTATTCCTTTACCATCTCATTTAATATTTATTTTTATTTATACATTGCCTTTCATTATGATCTTTTGTAGATTTTTAATTTTTTATTTCATTAGGATATATTCATTATACATGGGGGGATTCATAGCACCATTTCCAGTTAGATTTAAACTGAACATTAGTTACATCAACTCCACTGTCTGTCTCCTGCCAACCCCCTCCCTGGCCTACTTACAGCAATTGCAAGAGGTTTCTTTGTTCTGTTTCATTTAGGTATAAGAAGTCCATTCACTGTATAACATCACCTTAATCTTCATTCCCCCTCTCCCTCCCACTAGTCCCCCCCCAAAACACACTGTGTCTATTTTCAGTCCTGTATTTCATTATTAATATTTGAGGTGATGTTCAAAGGGGTTTCTCAATGTATGCCCACTGTGGGTATAATTTACTTTGGTCCACTTAACCTCCTTTTCATAAATAGCCCTAATCACCTGCGATCTGGGGAACATATGCTTTTGCCTTAAACCAGCAATCACCAACCTTCTTTTGAAAGGTAATTTGTATACATAGAATCTTCACCATATTTAAAGAGATGTCCTTTCTCTGTGATGAGTATAAATGATTGGCACCATAGCATTACTGTAAGGAAGGGATGACTGAGATGATTCTTTTAGTGCCCTACATCACAGGTGTGGGAAGAACTCATAAAAGAGGCTCCCAGAATATTTTAATCATAGTTGACAGTTATTTTCAATATTTTTGCCATTGTGTCTGGTATCAAAAGCACATTTGATTCCAGTTATATTTATGTAGGATTAAATAAATTTGGGTAGTTTTTCCTCTCACGGTGCTTATAAATATATCATTTTGTTATTTTCTTGATTGCTATCTTGAATTACAGACTCATATAAATGGTATCAATTTATTGTTATTTTAGAACCATCTGTTGAAAATATATTTTAGATCTTAATTCAATGTCATTCATTACAGTTAATTTGAATATATTTAATTATCTTATCATCTTGTTTATTGTACAAACCTAAATTTCTTAATGTTTTGACATTTCCAATTTTTTTCAGTTTGGAGAAAACAAAAATGAACAGTTAAAATGTCTGATCAATTTATTTTATATTACAATAAGTAAGTTAGAAAATAAATAAATTGACATGGCCTAGCCACCAGAAGGAAGAATCCTATGAAGTAAATGCATAGATTTTCAGAACAAGCACATAATTTTACTCGGATTATTATAGAATGAGCAATACTCAGAGCTAGAGTCCTGGAGTTTCTCTATTTCAGGCTTAGAATCACCTCTTAATCCAGTGTTGATTCTACTTTGCAAGTATTTTGTTCAAGATATTAGCATACATGTCCACCAGGGACACTGGAATGTAATTTTCTAAGAGTTCCTGTCTAACCAATTGTAACTTTTACAATAAATACATTTCAATCCTGGACAAAGAAGGAAACAATGAGGGATATACCCTGATCCACATAATGTCTTTGAAATCAAAGAACTGCAAGATTACATGTACATGAGATATCAGATGTAGTCAAAATTACAGGCACACAGGATAGAGTGGTGGAGTCAGGAGTGGAAAAAGGAAAATGTGGAGTTATTTGCTAATGGGTGTAAAGACACTATTGTGTATGCTGAAAAATCTCTGGACACATTCTTTACAATACTGTTTTTAATTTCAAAATTTACTAGAAGAATGCATCTCAGATTACGTGTGCTTACCCCAGAAAAAAACAATAGAACAAAAGATAAAACACAAGACATTCTGAGACATCAATTGTGATGATGGTATAGTCAGGAATTATGAATGTATAAATCAACAGATTTCACACATTACATCTGTGCAGTTATCTGTTTATAGATTATTCCCTAATGAGTCATATTAAAGTACAGAAGCATAGGACTCTGCATCTTGACAATCTTCCCGTGTCTGCAGTAGCACATTCTGCCTACACATTCTCAGACAGGATCTCTCCCTCATCTCCTTCTTGCTGAGTACCATCATTGCTTTGTTCTGAACTTTGTATCTGAAACAGCTCCATCCTCAAGGCCCTTACACTGCTCATGCTTTGGGTCAAGCACAAATTTCTTTAATAACTTTGTGCTTCCAGCCTTGTTATTTACCTGTCTTACCTAAACCCCATAAAAAGCACATCCATTCACTTTCTTTGTACTTGCTTAATTTTTCTTCCTTACAATTAGGGCCATCTGATATTTGCTTAATCTTTTTCTTTTGCTTTCAAAGGACATAAAAAGTCTACAAATTTATGTGATCAATGTGATATTTTAATAAATATATACATTGTATTTATAATCTACATATATTCTTCATCCTTAATTAGATTATAGGACTTTTCTTTCTCACCACTAAATTGCTTGCCTAGACAGTGGCAGAAACATGACTAGAACTCAATTTACATTTCTCTAGTGCATAAAAGACATTCTCATTAAAAGTGCAGAATAGTTTGGCCACAGTGACTCCTGCCTATAATTCTAACTACACAGAAGTCAGATATTAGGAAGATCAAGTTTCAAAGCCAACATGGGCAAATAGTTCATGAGACCCTAGCTCAAAAATACCCAGCACAGAAAAGGGCTTACTGGCAAAGTAGATCAAGTGTCTGCCTAGCAAGCATGAGGCCCTGAGTTCAAATCCCAATACCAGAAAAAAAACCCTGTACACTATTCAGTATATTGAGATAAAAATAGAGAAATGGAAGGGAATTTGCATTCAAGCACAGCAAATGGTACATGTAAATCAAGTCCTAGTACCAAAATAACCATGTTATTTTTGTTTTCATAGGCACTTTCAGTACATGGAACCCAAAAATTATACCAAATTTTCAGTATTTCATCTTATAGGCTTTTTAGAAAATCCGAAACTGCAGCCACTCGTGTTTGGTCTGTTCCTGTCCATGTACCTGATCACTGTGCTTGGGAACTTGCTCATCATTGTGGTCACAATCTCAGATCCCCACCTGCACACACCCATGTACTTCTTCCTCTCCAACTTATCTTTTGTGGACATCTGCTTCACCTCCACCACCGTCCCAAAGATGCTGTTGAACCTACAGACAAAGAGCAAGGCAATAACATATGAAGGCTGCATCACTCAGACTTACTTTTTCGCGTTTTTTGTAGGGTTGGACAACTTCCTCCTGGCTGTTATGGCCTATGACCGCTTTGTGGCCATCTGTCACCCCTTGCACTACACTGTCATAATGAAGCCCCATCTCTGTGGGTTGTTGCTGTTGCTGTCCTGGATCACAAGTGCCCTGAATTCCTTGTTACACAGCCTCATGGTTGTGCGGTTGTCCTTCTGCACAGATGTGGAGGTTAGAGATTTCTTCTGTGAACTTAATCAGTTGGTTCACTTAGCCTGTTCGAACACTTTTCTTAATAATATGGTGATGGATTTTGCAGTTGCCTTGCTTGGTGGTGGTCCCCTGATTGGTATCCTTTACTCTTACTCCAAGATAGTTTCCTCCATTCATGCAATTTCATCAGCTCAGGGGAAGTACAAAGCATTTTCCACCTGTGCGTCTCACCTCTCAATTGTCTCCTTATTTTACTGTACTATTGTAGGCGTGTACCTCAGTTCTATTGTGACCCCAAACTCTCACTCAACAGCAATGGCCTCGGTGATGTACAGTGTGGTCACCCCCATGCTGAATCCCTTCATCTACAGTTTAAGGAACAAAGACATCAACAGGGCTCTGAAAACATTTCTTGAGAAAGAAATTACTAAGTCACTCAATATCCTGAGCATAAGGAATTGCTGTTTATTCTATGACTGATCCTAAGGGCAACAAATTGGTTTGATTTTTTAAATCAAATTTGGAAGTAGAGCTTGCTCCTATTTATTTGCTGATATGTCTAATCCCCCTTTAAGCTTTTTTCTCTCTCTGGCATTTAAAAAGCTCCCCTTTATTTGCTTCATAATTATTCATTTTGAAACTTGTATTAGAAATCTAAGAAATTCCCATTTATCTCTTTGTGCAATAAGAATTTTTGAATAACATTTCTTTCAAATGCTGTAGAAGAGATTGGTTTATTCTTTTCATTTCTATGAAACATATTCATGGTTTGCTCTCCACCTATGGGAATAAAAGTACACTTGATAACAAAGTCCAATTACATAAGTTTTTAGTAGAGGACATTATTGGGCCATTATTTTCATTTCTGGGAACATCAATCCTTCATGCATCACTATCTAACTTCTGTTCATGCAGATTTTAGCAAACTTGTGTTGTTATGGTTTTTCTTCTCATTGTCAGAATTGTGTTTTCTTTTTCAGCATAGTTTCCACAGTATCATAACCAATGTCAAAAGATGATTATGTAATTCATGTCTCCAAATGAAGTCTATATACACCGACAATTTGGAAATAGTGAACAGGTTAATTGATTCCCATAAACAGAAATGAACTAAAATATGATGGGACCAATGTCCATTTTTCAATTTTGTATTTCTTCTCAATATATTTGTTTATCACATTGTAAATATAGTCATTGAATTACAGAAGTTCAGTGTCATGTGTAAAGAGGTTTATTCCTTAACAATAGAATGGCATATTTTATATTTTACTGTTAAATTGAATTATTACTGTTGAATCTGACTAATGTTTTTCTGCTTGAAAGCTTTTAGTGTTACCAATAAAATGAACCCTTCCATTGTTCAAAATCAAAACTCCTGTCCATTATTAATTTTCACATAACCACTAGACAGGTGAGGGAATAACAACACCAATATCATTCTTTGTGCTTAGAAATAATTTCAATTTTTATAATGAAAGTGTAATTCATTGTACAGCTTCAAATCTTATGCAGTCATGTGATTTTATATCATAAGATTTTCTGCACAGCTATCAATATTCCTATATCTGGAAAGTGATCTCCATGTAATTACTTTAGATAGAGTTCTATCAAAGAAACTTGTGTAAAAAGAGTATATTTGAGTGATTCCCTTATTATCAGAGACAATGACAGAAATACAAAGTACCAAATTAATATGATTTCCCTCAGTTATATTTGTATTGCTTAATGTGTCAGCTGTTGATGCCCCAAAAGCATCTTAAAAGCACATCCTGAAATGTAATGCCTCTATTATCAGTGTAATGGTACCTTGGGGATTTTTATGAGATCATTTCATGGCTGGAATGTTGGCTTCACAAGCTGGAGGTTCCATTTGGCAACAAGCAGCTGTGTTTGTCCCATAGCTTCTTCAAGGTGTCTGTGGAGTATTGGAAGCAGTCATATTTTTCATAAGAAAAGTACTGCTGGATACTTTGCTGAGAGTCCTTTGCTCAAGGCAGTTTAGGTACAGGAAAGACTCTTGCAGCTGTTAATTATGGACTCAAATTTTCCCAGCTCCCAACATCCTAGCTTGTTTATAGAAACAAACTCTAAAGGGATGATTATAGCAAAGACTTGTCATTAACATTAGGAGTGCTTTAACAGTATTTAACAGTAGTCTGACAATGCATAGCTCCTGCTCCAGTCCCCAGGGAGAGGGTCATCCCTAATCTGTCTCACTGGAGCCGTGTACTTAAAGGGAACATTGGGAGGTCAGTATATTCCTGTCCCTTTTTCACTTCCTTCCCATGGCTTGAACAGTGTTCCTCCACTGTGTGCACTCCATCACTCCTGATGTGCAATCTCTCCAGGGGAACAAAACAATGGAAACAAATAATCATGGTCTGTAACCTCCAAAATGGCAAGCCAAACTAAAGCTCTTTCTTTATAAGTTGGTTGTATCAGGTATTCTTTACATTAATGAGAAACTGACTAACACCGTCTGTTTCAACTAACAAAGAGATCAACAGTAGGGTAGGTGAGACTCACAAGTGGGAAAGACTTTAGATTGTCCCCAGCTGATGAGATATTCTGGATAAAGGATGTAATCTTAGAATAATATAAGGCAATCACAGGCATGTGAGAAACAATTTGAAAAATGGTTACAGAATACAAGACAGTATATCGATGTGGGAGTCTGAAGAGGTAAGACTACAAAAAGTGTGGAGTTTTCATGCTTATGTCAAGGGGAAGAGGTCCAAGACATTGACTTGTGAAAATTCCACATGTTAAGATAGTATCTCCATCCATACTACTGTCTCCCTCAGCCTGTCCACAGCATACAGGGTCAACTTTTATTCATTGGACTATAAAAACAGAAGTGGTAGGGATGGATCATGGGTTGTTGTATTTTTATTTTTTTCAGAAAGCTCCATACAGATTTCCACAGTGACCAGACTAATATACATTTCCACCGGCAGTGAATAATAAGAGTTCATTTTCCCCAGGCACCTCAACGGCATTTGTTGTTATTTGTTTTCCTTATCATAACCTTCATCTAGGCAGTTTTGTATTTTATGATGGTGAATAATGTTGAACATTTATACATTTATTTCCATTTGTACTTCATTTGAAGACTGTTCAGTTTACTTATTAATTGAATTATTTGTTACTTTGTTGTTTAAGGTTTTTAGTTCCTTATATATTCTGGATATTTATCCCTTGTCTGATGATTATCTGGCAAAATTTTGTCCCATTTTGTACTTGTCTCTTCACACTGATTACTGTTTTCTTTATGAAACAAAAGCTTTTTAATATAATGAGTTACATTTTGTCAATTCTTCCTTTATTTTTGGAGAAATTGGGATTTTATTCAGAAACTCCTTGCCTGTGCCTATAGCTTAAAGTGCCTCTCCTATGATTTCTTATAGTACATTTCAAGTTTTAGGTTTTAAATTATGGCCTTTAATTCATTTTGAATTGATTTTTTTGCAGTGGGAGAGTTAGAAGTATCTTTTCCATCTTCTACATGTGGATACCCAATTTTCCCAGCAATGCTTAAAAGTCATTTTTTTCCAATTATCAAAAGTCCAGTGGAAGTACTTGCTTGGGATTATTTACAGATGTTCTATTTCACTGATCTACTGTTTTGTGCCAGTATCTTGCTTGTCTTTGTTTTTATGATGGTAGTATAGTTTGAAGCAAACTTCAGAATTGCTTTGGCTATCTGGAGTCTTTTGTGTTTCCATATGAATGATAATTCTTTTTCAATTTCTGAGTAGACTGTCATTGGAATTTTGATGAGGATTACATTGAATTTTATAATGCATTTGATAGTATTGTTATTTTAATAATATTTATTCTGACAATCTAAGAACACTGGAAGTCAGCTCCTTATACCTTCCAATATCCTGCACAATTTTTTATAGTTTTTTATGGTGGAGGCCTTCAACATCTTTGGTTAAGTTTATCCCTAGATATTTTTGAGGCTATTGCAGATGAGTGGTATTGCTCTTTTGACATTTTTTTCCATGTATTAACTGTGGGTGTAGAGAAAAGTTACTGTTTTACATAGGCTGATTTTTTATGCTGCTATTTTGATAAAAGTGTATGTCAGATCTAAGAGTCATCTATTGGAGGCTTTTGGGTATTTTATGTAGATGGCCATATCATCTGCAGGCAAGGATAGTATGACTTCAGATGGGTGACCTATCTTTAGTTTTATGAACAACCTCTAGATGTTCTTCATAATGGCTACCTTAACTAACATTCTACCAACATCTTATTAGATATATTCCATTTTTTCGGTATATAAAGGTGATACTCAGAGCCTCATGCTTACTATGCAGGTCCTCTACCTCTTGATCCACTCTGCAAGACCTTAGAGAACTAGTTCCTCAATATCAGCAGCATTTCTGGCAGTGATAGGGATCAATACTAGGACCTGTGCAAACTCTACCACTCATCAACAACCCTGGTCCATCAGCATATTTTCAATTCAAGTTTTTCTAGCTTTTCCTATTTTTAGACAGATAATTTCACAATTCATGATCCAAGATGCCACAGGGATGTCTAAAAGAACATTTAGTAGCAAAAGTAGTCACATTGTATTTGTTTCTCTGATAGTCACATACAAAGCATGTATTAGACCCCAAAATTATATCACTATTTTAGAAATCCTTCTTCTGGGATTTTATGAAAAAACAGAACTACAACCCCTCTTATATGGACTTTCCTTCAACATGTACCTGGTCACTGTGATTGGGAACCTGGTCATCATCCTGACCACAATCTCAGATTCCCACCTGCACTCACCCATGTACTTCTTTCTCTCTATCATGTCCTTTGTGGACATATGTTTCACATCTGCTACGGTCCCAAAGATGCTGGTGAGCATCCATACTCATAATAGAGTCATCATATATGCAGGCTGCATCACACAGATTTATTTTGTTGCATTATTTGTGTGGTTGGAAAATTTTCTTCTGGCTGTGATGGCCTGTAATTGCTTTGTGGCTATCTGTCAGCCTCTGCAAGAAATAGTCATCATGAATCCCAGCTATGTGGGTTTCTGTTGCTGGTGTCCTGAATCATGAGTGCCCAGAATTCCCTGTTGCAATGCTTCATGTTGTTGTGGCTGTCCATCTGCAGAGATGTGAAAATCCCACATTCTTCCTGTGAGCCTAAGCAGGTGGTTCACCTTGCCTGTTTTGACACTCTTCTTAATAATATGATGATGAATTTTGGAGCTTGGTTCCTAGGTGGGGGTCACCTCACAAGCAGCCTTTATTCTTACTCTAAGATAGTTCCCTCTATATTAAAATTTCATCAACTCAGAGCAAGTACAAAGCATTTTCCACCGGTGTGTCTCACCTCTCGTTGTCTTTTTATTCTATTCTGTGGTACTAGGAGTGTACCCAAACTCTGCTGTGACCCAAAAAGTACACTCAACTATAAGAGCCTTAGTGATTTATTGTGGTCACCCCCATGCTAAACCCATTCAT